CCCCGGGCTTATGAAGTGATGGGAGCCGGGTGGGGGAGTTGGAGAAGCTCAGTCTTCTGCGCAGTCGTCTGCCGGAGGCTGGAGGTGCGCTCGGGCCTCGGGATCTCGGCTGCCCTCCACTGGCCTTGCCTCAGGCGCCTGTGCGGGGGCTGCTGGGAGTCTGCTGGGGGGCTGGTTGCAGCTGGTCCATCTGGAGGGCTGGACGGCTGTGCCCGCTGCGCCAGGGGCCCCAGGAGCGGCCGGAGCGCGGCCACAGGCCAGGCAATACACCGCGCCCGGGTACTTTATGGGGAATGAGGGAGAGAGGAAGGGAGGAAGGACACGCACGTGTGTGCACTTGACTGCGTGCACAGGTGTACGTGCGCCTCGGTGTGCGCGTATGTGCATCGCTGCCCACTGATGTATGCACGCGTGTGCGTGCGTATGCGCGCGTGCGCGAGCGCGTGCCCGTGTTAGTGCTGGCGTCCACTCTGCTTCGCTGGGTGCTCTTCACCTCCCTGGCCACTCACCTCCCGCAGGTGTCAGGTCTGAGCTCCTGCTTTGGTGGCCCCAGCGTCCCCATAGTCGCTTCAGCCAAATCTGTGTATTTTGCACATTTTGGAGAGGAGGGCGGGGGAGGAAGTGGAGGAAGTGGTCCCTGGCCCCTTCGCCAGCTAGCCCTGAGTCTGGAGGTGCCTCCGCCTGGGCGCTGACAGCAGAACCCTGGCTGGGCAGGGGCTGGTCCCTGCTCCACATCTGCCACCCCGTCGCTCATATTCATTCATTTATTTATTTATTTTTAAACACGACACTTCAAAAGTGCAAATATTTTTACATAAAGTCCTGCATTGGGAGTGGCTTTAAAAACATCTGCCACCATCGCCTCCCTCACTTCCCGAAAGTGTCTGCCTCTGTGCCCAGGGCCGGGCGCTTGCACTGGAGGAAACTGGGGCCTGGGGTTGGGTAGAGCTTCAGGGTCCCACAAAGATTCTGCAGGAGGCGAGGTGCCCTTTGTCCTGCATGCAGGGCACCGCCTGCGTGGTGGCGGGGATGTCCCATCATCTCCGATTAGGTCTCGTGCAGCGTGCGAGGGAGCCAGATTCTCCAGGTCTAGTCGGCATCTCACGAAGACACCAGGGCTCTCACGACTTCAGACGGATGCTCTAGAAGGATCTGCTTTCAGGATTTTGGTTTTTTTCAGTAATACCAAAATGAGTCTCTATTGTGAAGAAGGAAATGACATTTTTCTAGTTCCTTCAGCCGCTCACTGAATTCGGGGCTCATCCTGGGCCTCTCTATTCTCCGGGTAACACAGGGGAAAGGCCGACCCCAGCCTGGGGAGGACCGGGCGTGAGAAAGGCCAGGAACAGGAGGCCAGGATGCGCCTAGGACTTACAGCAAGATCACTATGCCTGGTCTTCCCGTGGCGGCACAGAGCTGCTGAAGTCCTGGGAACTTCCCAAGCGTGAGAGGGTAAAGGTGTCTTCTGATATGTTCAGGAGGTGACTGCATCCCAGGAAGCTCCGGGCCAGGTACGTGGCCAGCGTGTGTCAAAGCCACTGCCTTTTACATCAACCAACCCCTCAGAACATGCGCCGGATGTAGCGAAAAGCCAGAACATACGTGCTTTTCGACGTAGGGAAGCCTGAGCGAACAGGATTCATTGTCTCAGGAAACTCACGCATCACGGGGGCAGCAGAACCTCCAGAAAACAAAATGCATTCTGTGTCCCATTCCACCCGTGTGACAGAGAGTGACAATGACGTCCTTCTTCCGATTGCAAAATCAAACAGCAGATACGGTCCAAAGAAAAATTTTGCAAATTTATTTTTGAATTCTCTCCACGGGAGTCTAAGCAATAGCTCGTTCCACTAGGTCAGCACATAGGGTTTTTTATTTTTTTAATTTTTTTTTTATTTTGTATCATCTCAAAAGCCAAAGAAACCTATGTCTTAGAAGCGTGGACTCTGCTCCTTATCCTAACATGCTAGCGGGTTGGGACAGGGTTAGTGAGCACAGCCTCAGTACCGAGGGCACCGGAGGTGATAACCATGCCATACGTGCCTTTTAGAGGACTGAGTGCAATAATCGTTTTAAGTGAAAGTGTGCGTATATCACCCCTTTATTCCACTGAAGCCACACAGAGTCACACCCCAATGCATTCATGTTGAGCTAAAGAAAAACATCATTCTAAAATCATGTAACATTTCTCCGGCAATGTGCAAAGTAGCAAGGTGCAAATTAAGTGGTTACTGTTGCCTGTTCCGTATTTTTTATAGCACTGTGATTCTCGATTTCCCCCTGAGCAGAAACGACACGCGTGTCATCATGCCACACGTATCTCATAGCTTTGAAAATGCAGTGAGGACCAGGAGACACGATGGAAAAGGTACAGTGACCCCAGAATGAATGCATGAAATTTAAGTCGTATCGTTACCATTATTATTATTATATTTTTAATTTGTATAACCCGCAATTTTTAAAAGTTACAACAGTTTTTGTCTGCCAGCATGGGAGATTGGAGATTGCACTTGGAGCATTCACTTCTTTATTCATCCAACGGATATTTATTACCTGTCTCCTATGCACCGATCAGGGTTCTGGTGGCTGGGCACAGAGTGAAGCACACAGACAGGAGAGGTCTCTGCCCGTGGATCTCTCACGTTGAGTGGAAAGATTTTAGAGAATTAGATGGAGGCGTGTGTATAAACAAAATCTGTCTTATTTTCCTTGTCCGGGAGATCTCAGTGGGAGATGCTGAGTTATTCTGAGTCAGAGAAATCGTCCATGAAGATGAGCTCAGAACCAAGATGCAAATCACCTCCGACAGAATCATACCTAGAAAAATAAACAACAGAACAAACTGATAAAACTGGATGATCCTGTTCCAGGGTAAGGGAAGTTAAAAGCAATATCGATAGATCCTTGAATTTATCTAAAAGTAACGAAAGTGATCATGGAGTGAATAATAATAATGGAATAATAACGAGAGGAAATTGCGAAACGAGAGAAGTTCGTCATGAAACACAATAGCTGCTGATGAAAAAAGATGAACATTTTATGAAAATAGAATGTGATTCCTGAAAGCAAGAATATGAGAGGAGGCCGTGCCTGACCACGGAGGGAGAAATCGGTGACCCGACGTCGAGCTGCGGCGCTCTCCCAGCCTGCACCGCGCAGGGACAGACGCTCGGAAACCGTGCGGAAGGACGCATGACGCTTCGGCCCCGAGGGTCCCACGTGTGGCCGGCAGACGCCACCGAAACAAAGTATGGAACGCTGCTGTTCAAAGGAATGATTACGGGGCAAATCCTGGAGCCAACAGCTTGCTGACTTTGAAGTCAAACCTGGGTGTTACTAAATCTGCTTTTTACCATTTTTGCATGTTTAGCAGTCTCTTAACTCCAGTGTTCTTCATTTTCCCAGGAGACCACCTATTTCACGTGTTACGGTAAACGTTGAAGAGAAAGATAATTTATGTAAATCATCAATCCATCTACCTACCTGCCTACCTACCTGGCAGGTTGATTTATTTTAGGTACCAGAGCAAAGCTCAGAGGGAACCCAGGCTGGCTGACGCTGCACCCTCCTCGAAGCCTTCTTCCTTACCGATCACTCCATTTATTCATCATCTTCCCCTCTGTTTAAAAATACAGATTTTCTTGCTGTTATTCACATACGATGAAACTCACAGATCAAGAGATGACTGTCACTGTAAACCTAGTTTGTTATTTACAGACCCCAAGAGGAGAAGGTGCGCCACATGACAGGGCCACGCGCGGAAGCACCAGGGTCGGGAGGCAGAGGGAGTACAGGGTAATGGGGCCGAGAGCTTTTATCGTGGCTCCTGCAGGAAGGAACAGGTCAGGCGGTGTAGACAGCTTGAGGCGTTGACAGCGGGCTCTAGGACGTGGGGCTGTTCTCAGTGTCGGGTGCCAGCGGGGAGCGGGGCAGGGAAACAGCTGCCCAAGTGTGTGATCCCCGATGAAGGGGGCAGGTAGGGCCTGGGGTTGGTCGTTTTGTGTATGGAAGGTGCGTAGCAGCCTAGCCCTGTGAGTGGCCATCTCTGCCAGGTTAGCGAGGACCAGCTGTCAAAGCATCAAGAAGACATAAAATAAAACCCACGATGAATAACTCCTCTTTTCTCTTGGCGCCTACACCCTGCCCATATGGTCTCCTCTGTGAACGCTTCCATCGTGCTCACGAACCGCGTAACGAAGCGACGCTCACTCCTTCGACCTGATCTATTTCGCCGCATCTACTAGTGTCGAATGCGGATCGTGAATATTTAATAGATATGTTTTCCAAAAGACGGCACAGTCGAAATTTTACCTGAGATGCGGCCAAGGGAAGAGAGAGCAGCAGAGACGTGCGGGTTGGCTGTACCGTGTTTCAGGCACGGGGTGGGGGGCGACAACCAAGATTAGACAGAGCACGCGCGCTTTGTCTGCGAGACTCGGCCTGGATGTCCAGACACACCGTCCGCTGGGAACAGTGTCCTGTATCAGCCTCTAAAGAAAACCTGGCCCAACGCAGACGTGCTAGTAACTCGCAAGAAGGCTGAGGGATGCGCCCCGCTCTGTGGACGCCGCCTGCCTTTCCTTCACCCGGGATTTATTTTCATGTCCTTGCTTTTAGTTCCTCCTGGACAACCCCAAACTAACTCACGTATAGTAGTAGCATCTGAGACCTTTCTATTCAATGTGTTGCTTATAAAATGCATGTTTATTGCGGGGGGTAGTGTGAATCCTCACTGAATTCATTTTCTTTTGGTTGGTTGAGGAATGGCCTGGGTTTGGTGCTCACACCACTGAGGTGATTTCAGGGGAAAACACAGGGTCAAAGACCCAGAAAACCAAAGGCTCTGGGAAGTTTGCCAAAGCTTGACTTCAAACCAGCCTTTCAAATCGGATTTGTGGATGCCTCTTTGACTCAGTGGGGCATCTGGGGGATAATGAAACATGTGTACAGTGTGTGTTAATCTAATGATCCATGTCCATTTCACAGCTTCAAAGCATCACAAACACAAGACACTCGTTAACGCTTCCAAGGGAGGCATGGAGCTGGCCGGGTGATTTTAATGCGGAGCCTGGTCTAGGAGCCACTTTGGGAAACCTGTCGTCTCCGTGTGACTCGGGACGTAACCTGCAGAGGTAGCTTCCAACTCTCCTTATCGGGGGTGGGATTTTAGGAATAAGTACAGCACACGTGTTCAGTGCGCCCGTCAAGAACACAGGGCTAGCGAGGCCGGATGCGTCTTTCTCGGGAGCTTTCTCGCATTTCCTGGGTGGTCCCCTCGCTTCGCTGAGGCGCACGATAAACGGCATATAAATGTCTCTGCACGGATACACTCCACGACGCAGTCCCCGTGCCAGCGAGGGAGTCAGCAAGGTGTCATTGCCGCGGTGTCCACCGTGCTCTCGGTCCCAGGCCACTCCCTCGGCCTCAGCTTCCTCCGGATCCTCCGTGGACCGGCGCTCGTTGACAATCACCAGTTTGCTGGACGTCACGTGTCAGTCTTGGCAGGGGGTTATTTGTTCCAATTTCTCGTAGAGCACAGCCCCGAATTCCCAAAGCAGGGGG